TTGTCCTTGTGCTCTACCTGGGTTTGGGACAACTCGTTTTTCAGCCGGTTGACCTCAGCCCGTAGCTCGGTGTTCTCCTTACCAGCCTCCCCCAAGGCTTTGACGTCAGCCTGGAGTTTGTTGACTTGGAGTTCAAAGTCGGCTGCTTTTTTGTTAGCTGTATCAGCAGCAGCAGTGAGCTCCTTGATCAGCTCCTCTTGTTTCATCTCCCGGCTTTTAGTTTGGATTTCAAGCATAAGGGAGTTATATTGCAAAACATCTATTAGTTCGGCTGCCCATCTCTGGGCATCCCTTACCTCCTCTTGCTTTTTCCCAAGGGGACCTTCATTCCATCAACCCTCAACATCACCTGCAAAGTCACCCGGAAAGAAGTTAGCTTCAGTTATGCTACAACCGGCAATGAACAAAATTGCACAAAAACACGCCAACCGATGAATTACCTCAGCCAGCAGTGAGTTGATGCGGTCAATGTTGACCTGGTTGATGCCCGGTACCGCCTCCTTTTCGGACCGGGTAAGGGTCCTCAGCATTCTCTTGGCATAGTTTTACAGATCCGACCAACAAGAAGAGGCATCTGCATCATGAGATTTATTGGTTAAGTACTGAGCATATGTAGCGCCTATATTCTGCCGGCTGCCTGAAGAATCCCCTAACTGGGTAGCTTAGGACTTGACTCGAACAGGCCCAAGCGGTCAGGGGGGATCAAAGGTGAGAGCACTACCTTGATTTTTAGGCTGAGGGTCACACCACCCCAAGCCGCATTGGAATCGGATGCTACAGCAAGCACCCAGCTTAAGGGAGCCTCAGGCTCCCCAATTTTGGCTTCAGCTGACCCTGAGCCTAAGCCCAGATCTCGTAGACTCTTGCCTGCTAAAGTAGGCCTTTCAGGAGTCGGCGGTCTTCCGGCAGAGGCATGGGTAGGGGCATACAGGAGCCTCCGCCTTTGTGAAGAAGGCTGGGCGGGCTCCTCCCTCGGCCTCTTCAGTATTTGCTTTAGAGAGCGAGGGACGTTCTTGGTCCCCGTGTGCAAAAGAAAAAAAAGCAACCAGTTAGTATTAAAATGGGCTACAAGTCATACAGACGGTACAAAGATCAGCCGGTGCTTACCCCATCGTCTTTGGCCGCCAGTTGGGCCTTCTTTTTTCTCTAGTTATTCCTTTCTGATCTCAGCGGCTGACTTAGCCGGAGTCTTTTATGGAGGAACCATTTCTCGACCTTACTCTGCAAAAAGGAAAAATAAAATTAGAAATAATTAAAACACCATACAGGCGGCATAAGATGTCGGTTAGTAATCAACGTACGTTTGCTCCAGAAAGTGCTAAGACGGCAGGCGGAAAGGAACGCCTCGTCTTTAAACCAATCCGGATGAGGGACCTAGAATTTAGGGACAATGACTTGTGTCCCATCATCCAGAGGCAGTGTGGTCTTCTTGAAAAGACCCAGCTCCATTATTTGATCCTAGGCCTTCTCCGGTATTTCAGGGTTGGCACACTTCTTTCCCAAGAGAGTCGGGTGTTTATTGTAGCGACGTAGCCGGTGGTTCTGTTGCGGAGAAGGGGAAGAGACCATGTAAAACTTGCTCTTCCAGCTGCTCCACTTAGACGACTTTTCTAGCGTCATCATAAACTCCAGATGTGTGGTCAATGTATACCATGCATTCCAGCCGCCTTGGGCACAACTGAGATGGTGCATATGTGCAAACGCCTCCCAGCTAGGCGTTATGTCCTACATCTCGCAGGCGTCAATATACCCAAGAATGTTCACCCAAGAGTTGGGTGTGAGCTACCAGACGCCAAGGTCATAACCCCTTAGAATGGCCTTTATGGTGTTGTGGAGGGGGAACCGGAGGCCGGCCTTGAATGTCGCCTCATAGCAGCCGAAGTAATCATCAGCGTGACCTAAGTCGTCATCCCAGACGACGCTGCCTCCACAGGCGGCACTATGATCTCCCATCCAGCCCCTACCAGGCGTTTTTCCAAAAATGTCGGAAGGGTTGTGTTTAAGGTGACCACGTTCCGGGCGCTCATGTGCGCCTCTGTTGGATTATTTATTGAAGGCCAATTATATGCGTCCTCGTCCTCTTGAGGGGCATCCGACTCCATCGTTGACTCAGTGGAGTCGGACTGCTGGACGGTCTCTTCACCGTCTGAGCTCCCGGATTCCTCCAAGATCTCATGCCCGGTTGGTCATAAGGAACATCATCAACCGGAGCTTCGGCTGAATCACTTGACTGGTACTCAGGGTCTACATCCGTCCACCTAGTCCGAACCATTCTGTCCTGCACATGAACAGAGACGGTCGGATTCGCAAAAGAGTAAGGGTGGTCCAAACACCCCCAGACGGCATCCCCAGTCCTAGATTCAGCCATGTCCGGTGACCGGTTGACAACTGCCCTAGGTCGTGCCGTGTGTGTGTTGGGTGAGTCCATTATTCTCAACGACCTATACAACCGGGAAAAACTCAAAAAATTTGCAAGGGGCAGAGTCGGTACCTTGAAGTTGTAAAAACTTGGAATGTGGTTGACTCCTTTAAGCTAGCAGACGAAACTCTGAATTGTTGCTTGGAAATACCCTAGACGGTGCCCGGACGTACCCCTTTGAAGAGCAATTGAAACTTACAAAAGACCCAACCGTTCTTCCAAAATATGGCTTGAAGATACTGCAGGCGGTAGAGACCGGATGTGGGTGTTATGAATGCTAAAGAAAATAAACGGGTGGTCGGGCGTTTTTGAAGAAAATGGTTTGAAGATGCCCCAGACGGTAAAAGACCGGCTGTGGGTCTATTGAAAGCAAGAAGAGAAAATTGACTAAAGTCAGGCAGTACCTTAGTGAGTTGAACAAAGAGCACTCAGACGGTATTCGGATGTGTCTGAAAAGAAGAAGCTGGTTGAAATGCAAAGCAGCCGGTGTCAAAGCTTTTCCTCTCGAGAAGTTTTTGAAAAATTTGTAAAGTGGTGAAATGAGAGGAGGAAGCCTCCCATCTATAGGAAGGGGCAGAAGGCGAACTGTCACCTCCCCCTCCAATTCAAATTCGAAATTCGAATTTAAAAAAAATGGAGGGAAGGAGACGAACAGTCACCTTCCCAGATTGTGACACGTGTCACATGTGCCACGTGGCAAGCCACGTCACACCTGTGAGGGGCAAATGTTTGGGGTAAAATTACCCTATGCCACGTGGCCCAATGGTATGCTGACACGTGTCAGCCTCAGAGAGGCCTGATGGGATCCAATCCTCTGCTGACACGTGGCATCGTAACCCTAATAGGGGAACTGATCTTCTTCTATTATAAATAGAGGAAAATCCTCATTTATTACATATTCATAAATACAAACACAAAAACCGAGCAATATTAATTGCAAAATTCTCTCTGAATCAGAGAGAAAATCCATTTACTTTCTGCACATTAATACACCCAGAGATGTTCTAACTTGATCGTCGGAGGCGGAACTCCACCCAACCGGAGTTTCGTGGTTTTGCAGGTACAGACGGTCGACGTGCATTCCCGGAATTGTAACTCTCCCGAGGGACTCCAAAAACCCCGAAACAGCATGCATCATGACAATTGGCAAGCTGCTGCGGTCTGCCTGTGTTAGTGATTTTTTTTTAAATAAAAACGACGTCGCTTTAGTGCATTTGAGAACATTATGCTGCGTTTTGGACCACAAGAAACCAACAAAGCCTTATTTTTGTCAGACGAACAAAATTCACAAACGGTTTGAAAAAACAAACCATTCACAATTGTTCATGGAACTGTTCATAAATCCCTCATTTTTTAAATATTATTTTATTAAAATAGTAACTCAAACAATTTTAATTGTTCATTGTTAAGGATGCTCTAAGTTCATTTTTTGTTTTTAACTAATTCTAAATATGTTAAGCATACGTTAAAGAGAGAGAGAGAGAGAGAGAGAGAGAGAGAGAGAGAGAGAGAGAGAGAGAGAGAGAGAGAGAGAGAGAATAATTAAGTTTAATTGTTTGTCTCATATTTGTATCCTCAACATCAAGTTATAACACTAGAGAGTAGAGACCTTAATGATAGGATATGTTATATTTCATGTCCTCTATTGAAAAACAACAAAACAAAACTTATTACGAGTACTTCATAATATGATATTATGATATTTATAGTTTAGTTAAAAAAAAATGTCTATTATTCTTCCAAAAAAAAAACATACTGTCTATTATTCACACACACCCCCCCCCCCCCCCCCCCTCCAAAAAAATAAATAAATAAATAAACAAGTCTAGAATATGAATATAATGCATAACCAGTTAATCCCCAAGCCATGCTCATTTTATTTCTGATGGATTTCACCAAGGCCCAGAAAAGGGGAATCGTCAATTTGTATGCTTAACATCCGAGTTCATCCTGGTTGTTTTAGATTTTCTACCACCATTAGCTGCTATTGTCAACTCTACGAATAATTCAACATGAATTTTCTACTTTCAAGCCAGAGACTAACTGTAGTCCAGCGCAGAACAGCACCATCCCTTTCATCGGCACATAATTTCCAAGTGTTCACGCTAACATTGTAGATGCTACAATTGTTTAACTTAGCTGACCTTCAGCCGATGGCTGAGGCTCACATAGCAAGTATGCCTACCTTGTGCCTGAAATAAGGGCATGCTTTTACTAAAACACCATCAAAGTACTGTTCATTTTATCCTGTACCTGTTAGATTTCTGACCATTGTAAAATATCAATGACATGAGACTCAACTTAAGGGGAAACCGGGGTACTCGCAAACGTCTGCAATGTATTGGCATGTAGCTGTGTTACTTGCTAGTACCATTTTCGGATTACATCGAACTACACAAGCTATATATGAATGTAGTTTGATGACGTTGTAACATTTCACATCACGCAACAAGACATGAAGTGCCTCGCTTACAGTGTGAAAATGCCACCATGGCAATGGTTCATTAATCAACCATCTTTTCTTAAGCCACCAAGATTGGCAGGGCGCATATATATTTTTTAAGAAAAAACTCGCAAGAAATAGAAAGCAGGGGCCAAACAGCATAATATCATATTCTGTATAGAATACACATTAAAATACAAAATTTTTCAAGGGCCACATTTGTTTTGAGTCTATATTGAGATAATTTTGAACCATGAACGAGTATACAGTTTACCTACAATTATTACCATTAAAGGTAAGAATGTATCTCAGCTAATCTTCACTGTATAAAAACAATTGTATTTCTGCCAAATCTAACAGATGCACCCTGCAGGAACATACAGACAATGAGACAAGATCCGTTAGTAATTGCCATATAATACGCAAGTGAATATAAAATTGGTAACTACGAAAGAACTAGATGTAACAGAACAGCAAAGGTCCTATTCATTCTTCATTAAGAGACCTAAGGACAAAGAAGGTATTAAGGTATCGGAAAAGCCCAAAAGATAAAATCTATGCATGTGTCAACCAAACGTTGTGTTACTTATACGTATTCCAACTACGGAATCCAAAGAGTGAAGTTTTGAAAAACAAGCTTCTTAGATGTTAGGAGACTATGAAAAGAAACTTTGGATATCAAGAAGCAGGAATTGGTGACAAGGAAAAACACTTGATCATTCATTCCTCTTGTTAAGCGAGTGATGGAAACAGCTTGGCTTTGGCATATACTGCAAGGAGGGGAGGCTTTGGCATTCCTGCTAACAAGCATGCCACCTCTAATCTCCAATCCCATTCCCAAATCCATCCCAATTTCATCAACCCAAAACAGCAGTCAGAATTATGTCTGTAAAATTACGTAAGGTTATCAGTACCACTATATCAATGACTTCTAGTTTTAAACCTCCAGCACTCTACTAGTACCAAAGCAGAGCAGACTGAGACCATGCTGCATATTATACTGGACAACCAAGAACCATCAACCAATATAATATATAAAATCTGTAAGCAGAGAATTGGGAAATAATAAACACAAACTCTATCCAAGAGACCAACACTTCTCATGAATAGCACAATTCAAGCTCATTAATCCAGGCAATAGCAATGTATAATGCTCCCTAATAAATATGAATAGTTAAGTGGTAAAGAAAATCGTGAAAGAAGCAATACATCGCAAAGGGAAACAAAATCACCACATTCATATAGGATATTCATGCAATATCTTTCAATGGCATGACTAGGATACTATAGATTATGACCTTATATAATACAAGCTGTCAAAGACTAGTACAATAAAGTGGATTATCGATCATTAACTAGAAACATAAAACAAAGTCAGTGAAGGCTGTAGAAAGAAGCCAGCCAAAACAGAAGACACAGAAACGTAGCAAATCAAAATTTCCACACATTTTTTCCACTACACCGCAGATTTTCATGACACAACAACATTATGTTTCTCATACTCTTCAATTCATCTTAGGTACAAAAAAAAAATCATGGATATAAAAGGGCCAATCGTGGGAAATTTTTTCACAAAATAACCTAATTAAGCACTTGGAGATGCCAGATACATATACTTGAATCCAAGAAGCATAGCAACAAGAAAACAAGGACCATACAATAAAGATAACGTCAAGTAGGATAACTGCACTGCTGGAGCAGCTTTCAAGATGAAGTTGATACAAAACAGCAAAATTAAAGTTCACATCACATATCACTTGTTTCGATAACAATAATGCTATACCAGTTGGGAACAATTTTCAATACAAAGAGCAAAATGGTAAATCAAATATAAATAAAGCAAGTGATAAGCAGATCATCTTCAAGCAATCTCTTCAGCTAAAGATTTTTCAAGTAAACAAGTACTACAATTTCAGACAATAAAAAGACTCCCTCCGTCCGTTACTAAGTGCTTATATTCCTTTTCGGGTGTCCCAACTTTAAGTGCTTACTTCCAAAATTGGCCTAGTATTTAGGACCATTTTACCCTCATCTCCAATATTAAATCCCCTATTTCTCCCAGGATTCCATCCACTTGTCATAAATTCTCCCACCCACTCACTCATTTTATTGTACTTGACAATTTACTTTTGATTTTAATTCCCACCCACTCATTTCACTCCTCTCCCATTGGCTTTTAAGAAATCACCAATCATTGCTATGAAAGGAATCCAATTGCTTTATCCTTTTGCATTAAAACCCATGAAAAATGAGAAATGAGCACTTAATATCAGAACGGAGGGAGTAGCAGACAAGTTATAAAGCGGATAAAAGTGAAAATTTGACTCTCTACAAGGCCTAATTTTTTGTGCCACAATCAGCATATGTAAATGTTTACCCCCAAGTACCCAGAACCCACATTATGAGAGTTAATAGAAGCAGACTCATACCAGGAGATAGACCAAAGAGTATGCACTCAGCACACGGTATTTTTCTAGAGCTCCAAGCCTCCAATCTGTCCTACTATGCAACCCTGCACTGCGTATTGAGATTCTTTGAGCATTGAGTGTTTGAGTCATATAACCATTATTCATGTAATTCATAATGAACCCTTCTGATTTAAGACATATAACCTTAAAAATTATCAAATCACCAAAAAAAATTGACTTCTGTTAGGGATTATTTTCTATTTCATAATTTAAACTGAGACCTCGCTTGGTTGAAGTCCCCAAAAAGAAACAAAACAGTGCAGTAAAGGCTGTTAAAAAAACAGAAACGGACTTTACCACTTTCCATCCCATGTTTGTTTTGATTCCATTTCTTATGTTTTAACACATCACCGCTCTTCAATCTTCATTCATTATCTCCCTTTTTAAGATGATTGATTCGATTCATTTTTCAATGATTTCATAATTCCCGCTCTACAATCCTCCCTCATTATCTCCATTCTATGTCTTCTGCCTTTCTGCCATATTAAATTGCCAGGCCCCAACAAGATATTGTGCTTCCAGACATGGATGACCACTTCTGGTCACGCTGACGACACTGAATTCCTTTCCTATGTCAGTCTATGTTGTGCAAGAGTGTGTGAATAGTCGAAAGTCAACATGGTGCAATATTTGTGGAAAAATAAACATACTAAGTTTTCATTGTGACATAGCAGTATAGCACTTGAAAAGTCCCTTACCGCTCAAGTAGATGAATTGAAAACAATAACTAAATAACTCAATTGCAACATTGTTACTAAAAGACCCAGCAACTACACTTTGATGTCTATGGTCTGCTTTATGTAATTCAAGAATGGTCACAGCACATCAGCAATCTCAGCATTCACATAGAAGGTGCTAAAGAAACAACCAGCAAGAGAAAATTTACTTCATTGAGAGATAGATCCATAAGATGCAATATAGCCTCCACCATAGGTAAATCCTCAACTGGTCCATAAACTAGATTTTTTTTTTTTCTAAACAAACTAATACTTTTCTTTGCTCTGATCTGTGATCAAGTTTTACTACATGCATACAAAACTTGGTCCCTAATCCAAACGTCTTCTTCACTTGATAACTATTACCTTGCAAAAAACATTTAAACTAAGATAACTAGACAACCCAATGAAACTGAGCAACTTGAATAGTCTACAATCGTAGCACAAGTACATCACAACAAGAAGACCAATTTTAAAATCCAAATTTCATATGATGAAGCTCAATTTTATGAATTCTGGTCCTTTAACTCTAAGATTCTCTTTCTGCCATAACAAGCTCAGCATCTAAATTAAATTGCTCAGTATCTACACTTAATTGCTCAGTATCTAGATTAAATTGCTCAGTATCCAAATTATATTGCTGAGTGGCTATATGGTTTTACAAGTTAATGAGCAAAGGCGGGTCGAAAATGAAAACCTCAAGAATCCTTTTTGAATCATGTGCACTAATTAATTACATTATGAGAGAGATACAATGAAAGAAGTCGAGTGGCACCAATAACAAGCAGCAGGTTAAATAAGCTTCTCCAAACACAAGAAAATCCAATGTGATGGCACTGCCTTTTCAGCCACATCTTAGTGATCTTACACACCTCCATATTCCATGCATACCAATTCCTTCCCAAACTAATAAATGGACACTCGGGCGTTATGATTACCTAACATCTAAGCTTCTTGTTCAATACAGTCTGTCATTACTAATTGACTAAGACTATTCAAAAGTGTCAAACTTGTTAGATTTATCTAAGATAGACAAGTCAAGCTTTTCCGTACTTCCTCATTATTATAATGATCTTGTTAAGTATTCATCATATCCATTCAATAAAGTACATACACAGACAGCACCAGTACAACAGAATGATGTGTTGTAAGAAGACTTTTTGGCCAACAGCAGGTGATGACAGAGGAACTTCTATGGTAATTGAGTGAAATTAATAAAGCAAGCCTATCATCTATCAAGTTTTAAATTATATTATGTAATGTAAAAAGCTTAGTAATATACGTCATCTACATAGGAATATAATTTCCAAATGAGAGCCACAACTAATCCCTTTCATAGAGCACATGCAACAGTTCTAGTTAAAATTATACCACTGCAACCCTTATGAGTTGTGACAACTAAAAATTAAACAACACAGATTTTATTTATTTTTGGGTCCAAAAAATATTGAAATTTCAAAAGCAGAATCGAAAACTCAAACAGTTTTGCAGATTCGAAAATTCCAACAGTTTTCAGAATAAAAGATAATATCTCACCACCCAGAACAGTAAAACACCAGATCAAATGGTGTAAAAACCAGCTGGATCTAGAGTAAATGAACTCATGAAGTACCAGCTTCCACATTTATTTCTAACTAATACATGAATGACTAATCAACAGACAAATTGTTTTTCAAGCAAATGAAAATATTTACAGCACATTCATTCCTAATGAAAACAGTGTATCTGCAATTAAATTTGCTAAATGTCATTATATCTCATCATTCTATCAGCTCCAGGCCATACAAGGAATGAACAAAACAGAATGTAAATCAGCAAATAATTAAAATCATCCGCAATGACAGCTTTGGAAATGCTGGATATACAGAGCTAAACTCAGAAGACAACAGCAAACAACATGGAAGCTCGTAGAAACAACCATCATACTCAATCAGAGAAGAGACAAACTTTTATATTGACCAAATTTAGACGAAGAACCAACTATCTCATTTTCATGTTCTATTACTCCATCTTTATTTCAAAATCTCCAATACTATATCAGGAAACTAAAATGTCACAAAGACTAAATGCTATAAGCATATACAAGGAGAAAAAAGTAAACTGACGGTAGCCTAGACATTTTCAATCTCAATTTTCATAGAGCCACAGAGTATTATCGATGAGAAATAACAAAATGAAGTATAACACCTAGGAAGGATTCGACATAAATCAAGGGAAGGGTCTGAAATCTAATAGATAGGCCTATTATTCCACACAACTTTAATAAGATTTTGATCCAAGCCAAAAGCTGCTTAACATTAGAAGGTGTTCAGTCTAACCTCTCTTATCTGACCCTTGTTAACTCCTGAAGTATCCATAGCCTAGACAAGAGCATCTGATAAAATACAGGTCTTCTAAATTTTATTCTTCTTAAGTTTATCAACAACTTAATGTTCTTCACATGATCAGGGTAAAGAAAATCACTGAGCAGTTGATGTTGGCCATACTCAAGTTTATCTAAAGGACAAAACAGTAGTGTGATTGGACTTCAACTCCTAGAATGCATGACCCAGAAAATCCAGTAGATTGGGCAAAATTGAAGGAAGGAACAATTGGTGGATAGAAGCAATCAAGGAACTTACAAACTAGGCAAAGAAAGTGCTTTCTGTCCCCAAAAAGAGGGGGACAGCAATTAAAACAATAAGGCCATCACTTTCTTAACTTTAATTAATCTAGTTTTATAATCACGTGAAAATACAAGTCTATGTAACTAATGCTTTTTCTGCTTGTCCAATAGTACGATCGGTGAAATACTCAAATGCATATGCTGCCATCACCATTTACTCAATTTACCTATATCTCAACAGTGTTAGCTTTGCATAGCAACCTCCAATAATTGATCATTAATTAAGAAAATCTAGAAATAAATCACGGTATTCTGTGTGATACTTGAATATCATCTAATTATCAATGCAGTGAATGCACATCCAAAAATATTAACCACTATCATTCTGTGATACTTTTTTTTTTTTTTTTTTTTTTTTTTTGATACAAGTGATACTTGAATATCATCTAATCATCAATGCAGGTCCAAAAATATTATTCAATATCATTCCAGCGATGAGAATCAAAACAAAGCACAACCATAACATTAAACTTGAATAACTAAGAATACTAAACCAAATCAACCAATCAAATTGAGGATCATAGAACAATTTAAAGAAACAAACACAGAACAAAAAAGCACTAAAGTATACCTAAATCACACAAGCATTAATCAAGGTCTTCTGTTCGGGTTTCTGATCCAAAGTCTGGATTCCCCCTCCTCCTCGGGTTCGCCTCATTACCATCACCGGAAGCATTACTCCCCTCGGCTGAAGACCCAACATTTCTAAACGGCCAAGGCAACGAAATGTTAAAACTCCTCTCCACAGTCCGATCATTCTGCGAACCCGTTTCAGACGACACCCCATCACCACCAATTCTATTACCATTACCACCCACATCACCATTATCACCGCCACCAGCACCATCACCAGATCCCAGATTCTCCCTCCGGTTCCGAATCCTCTGCTCATAATCAGGATCATCGGTAGGCAGCTCGTGCCGGCAAACAGGGCAAGAATTATGCAACTCCAACCAAGGAAGAATACAATCAGAATGAAAAACATGTTTACAAGGCATCTGTTTAGCTTCAGCACCAAGCTGAAACTCATCCATACAAACAGCGCATTGTGAAGAGTCAGACAACAGCAATTCCTCCGTTACTTTAACAATAGGCAGCCCCTCCACAGCGGTTTTCGAGGCCGGTGGCGTACCGTATCGATTCGGATCATTCTCCGCTAGCTGCTGAATCAACTGCTCCAACCCTGGTCCAAAGAAATAGTCCCCCAAATTCGAGGGTAACCTAAAATTCCCACCACCGCCACCTTGTTCAGGGTTAGCATTCTCAATAACAAATTGAATGTTAGCACCCCCAGCTCGCATAGTCTGAAGATAACTCTGAAGAAATTGAAAAGGGTTGAAAACATCGGTTTCCTGAAAAGGGGATCTCTGATTACCACCATTTCCGCCATTACCAGAACCTCCAAAAGCTCCACCCCCGAAGATGGCGGAGAGGTCGATAGGCTCAATAGGAGAAGCGGCGGAAGAAGAAGAAGGGGGGAAGAAGAAGGGGGCAAAGGGTGCAAGATGATCGGCAGCGGAAGCAGAAGGAGGAGGAGAGAAGAATTGAGCGAAAGGAGAGGAAGAAGAATAAGAAGAAGGGTTAGGGTTTTCGACTTCTTCTAGGAAACCGCCATTGCAATGGGGGCAAGCGAGCTCGTCGGAGGAAGAAGAAGAAGGAGAGAGAGAGACGGTGCGATTGCATTGATAGCAGAAGTAGTGTTGTGGTGGTTGAGAGAAGGTTGTTGTGGTGGTGGAAGGGTCGTCAATGGCGCCGGAAGACATTGTTGTTGGTGGTTCAAGGAAAAGACTGCTGTTGTTATGCGAGGGAATGAGGCTAGATTTTTTTGGTTTTTGGTTTTTGTTTTTTTTTTTTTTTATTTGTTTTGTTTAAATGTGTGTGTTTTTGTGATTATTTTTCTTTCTATGATATGATAAAATTGAATCTTTATGCTATATTTCGGTGGTGGGTGTAGGTGGGGTTGGAGAAGGGGGAAAGAGAAGAATATTGCTGATCTATTGGGTAAAGGGGGATAATCTAATATATATAAATAAAGTAGGCATTTTTGGAGAGCATTCGGAACGCAACGTAAGAAATATACTTATTTCGACCAATAAGAAGAAAGATTTGTATTTTATTTTTGAATTAAAAAATTATGTCGCCACATAGATAAAAGTAACGAATTAGATTTGATATATCTAAAATTTTAATGCCACGTAGATTATAATCCACGAATTAAATTATTTTAATGAAAAAAAAGTAAAATATAGGAAAAGATAAATATATTAATTCAATACTACGGTTATAAGAAATCCAAAAAAAAATATACTAAGAAATATTTAAATGATAAACGCTTATAATAAAGTTTGATACCTATCATTATAAGATAAATTTTGATAGTATTTATGATAAGAAATACAAATTGTTCGTTAATTATAATTAAATTAAAATTTGTGATGCCTACCATTATAAATTGACACATCATACGACACAAACAAAATTTCGTATCAATAAAAAACCCCATCAAGCAAATTTTGTGTTAATTTTTGGTCAACAATGGCCGGGTGATTTTTAGCTTAATCTTTAAAATCCTATGTTTAAATTATATTTCTAATTATTACTTACAATGTATTAATTTGGGAAACTCAACGATTATATGTTTATTTTTATTTACTAAATGTTTTTTTTTACATGCAGATTTAACACATCATACGACACAAATAAAATTTCGTATCAATACAAACCCCATCAAGCGAATTTTGTGTTAGTTTTAGGTCATCAATGTCCGGGTAAATTTTAAAATCTTATATTTAAATTTATATTTGTAATTATTAGTTACATTGTATTTATTTAGGATATTTAGCGATTATTTTTTTATGTAATGACATACGGTTAGATGTTGTATAATTAATATATGGATGGCTTTGGTTATTTTTGGAGATGATGAAAAAATTCCAATGCATAGATTTGATTTTATATATCGCAATAATTTTTCATTTATTGGTAAATATATTGATTTATTTTATATAAATGTAAAGATTTAATTTATATCAATTTCAGTTTGGCTAACATTTCACGGTTCAATTTATCCATTGATGTATTAGGTTGGTTGTGGACGAGGTTGGTGATTCTATTGAAATAAAAGATATGGTAAAACAATGAATAATGATTTAGGATTTAAATTACTAAAAATTTATCATTTCACATTAAAGATTTTATATATATGAAAAAAATATCATATTTACAATTTATTTATATTTAATAAATTCATTATAAATTATAGTAAAAAAAAAAATTAAACTTTTGTAATTTTGTCAGAAATTGTTAAATACAATAAATCAAATAATTAAAATCTTAGATGAAAAAACCTTACATCGCACAGGGTTCCATCTAGTAAATTAATAATACAAACTTATAAATAGGGAAATGGAAATAATTTAAGATTCCTAAGAGTAATCCCTTTGTATTTACTAGATTTGAAAGGATGATTTTCTAAATTTTTTTTAAAAGGTAAGTTAAAGAGGGAAAGCGTTAGCCACCTCTCCTCACGAGAGGAATGCCTAGCACATCTGAGGAGATAATGGGGTACAACGTACAAAGATGAGTTAGTACTAAGGGTAGTATCCATGTTATCACTAGCAAGATGTCCTACATTTGCGATCCAATATGCTACTTTATTTGCTTCTTTGTAAATGTGATGGACTTCTCAATGGTGAAAGTGTTGGAGGAGAGTCTGGATCGGATGTCGGTGATGATGTGGTTGATTTACCATGTCGTATACCAAGTCCCTTTTAGAGCATTAACTACTAGGAGATTGTCGCCTTCAATGTTTAAATGTTGAATCCCGTGCTGGATAGCGAGAAGAATGCCTTTGTGGAGAGATGTAGCCTCTGCAGCGAAGATGTTAGTATTGCCAAGGTTAAAGGTGCGAGCAGCAATCCGAGTACTGACACTGTCTCTTATGATAACACCTGCTGTTGCTGTAATCCCCCGTAATTTTGTGAAATTTAAAATTATATTTTAACATATTTTTGTGAATATTTGATTATAATTATTTATTTACATAAATTATTTTAGTATGATTTAAGCAAATAAATTTAATGTTTATAAAACTAATAAAACTATTTCATTAAAGTATTTCCCTACCCATATTGTAATCATGCATTAATATGCAAGCCCAACCCATAAATTACTAAACTCATTCTTTTACCTAAAACCCACTTACTTTAAGCCCAAACCTTATTATTAGTTTTATTAGAACTAGGAAAACCAAAACCCTTATTTCCCCCTCTAATCTCACTTAAAAAAAAAAAAAAAAAAAAAAAAAAAAAAACCCAAGCTTTCCCCCTCCTACTGCATTCATGATCAAACACAAAAAAAATAAAAAAATAAAAAAAAAATTCTCCTTCGCTGCTGCTTCCGCCGCTGCTCCGCCCCACTGCCGCCTCCTGCTGCCACCGTATCCAGTCGAGACCACCATTGGTTTAGTAGCCTATCAATCTTCCTCCCTTTCTTTTCAATACTCATGCTTTAAATATTTAAACTTTCTATGATTTTTGCTATCATGATTTGAATATGTATATACATTTGAAGGATTGCAAATCTATTGAGTTTACAATATATTAAGCATATAATTAATTTTCAGATTTTATTAATTAAGAAATTAGGGTTTAAAACTATCAATTTTCATGGTTTTAGAGCTTAAAAACGTGTTGCTAAAGTTATTCAATTTAAGCATGATTTTGTTGTGATTTTGCTATGAATATGATGATATTTAATTCAACAGCAAGTTCTAAATTTTGCGTAATTAATTTTTGAATTCCGTTCTTAATTTCTCTTAATCACGTTTTGATCACGTCTTGACTCTGACTCATCTGATTTTTGCAAAAAAAAATAGTGTTTTTCGTGTGTGAACGACGCTCTAATCAAAACTTACTACCTTTGGTAATGAGCACCACCCTCTCATGGCCAAATTCAGCCTCTAAATATGGTTTTCGGGCAGTTTTTGATTTTTAACGAAGGTTTAATGTTTAAAATAAATTTTCAGATTTTTATAAAGCTTTAAACTTGCTGTAATTTTATGAATAAGTATGTAATTTATAGTTTTTATGTAGGAAATTTTATGAATAATATATAAGCTTTTAATTCTAGCAAAAAGGAAGGTTTTAAAGTGTTGTTTAATTGAATTTTGGAGGTTTGATTGAGTTTTTATGAAACTAATTGAATTCTAATTATATATTTTAAGTTTAGATTGTTGTATTCATACATTCTACTATTAAATTAAATTTTCAGATTTTTAAATGGTTTTAAAGGTTTTAAATCATGGGTTTATGATGGATTTTTAGGTTTTTAACATACTAACCTACTATATAATGAGTATTTCAAGTGTAGATGTTTATGAGGTTGTTTTATAATCTTAAACTAAATTTCCAGATTATAATCCTTACTTTAAAGTTGCTAGAATTTTATGTTATAAGCTATATTTTCATGATTTTAACATATAGACTTATAGTTGAACTATTGAATTATTAACTTTGACTATTGTGAGTAATTTAAAAGCATTATTTCAATGGTTTAAGGGGTTTTAAAGTAAGTTAGTATTGCTGTAAATTATATTGCTTGGGTATTGATTGAATTATTATTGTTTGGTTTAGGAGAGGACTTTGTAGAAGGCGATTTTTAGTTCCTAAAGTGGCCAACCAACTCGTTTACTCAAGGTACGTACAAGGATACGAAAACCTTGACTTTAGAAGCATGTTTAAGAACTTGGAAAACCTTAGAATCATGTTAGGAAACTTGTAGACTGGGTGAAATTGTTTGGTAGTGAGTTTGATTGATGATTAATGTGATAATTGGTTTGATTCATGTATGAGAAATGCGTATTAATTTACCTTGTAAGTATTATTTATGCATTAAGTTACAAGATGAGCTTAGAGGCAAAGGTACGTGAATATGTGGAATTGATAGAGTCATAAAAGTATATTATTTTATTTTATTAAACTCTCGATTTTATATTGATATTTAATGGTTTAATGATATATTAAGTAATTTTCTTCCAGAAGCACGTACTACTACTATTGTATTTATTTGTGTGTAGGAAAGAAAATATGGGCACAAACTGCATATTACGACACTCCGGTTAAGAGAAGCAAAGTTTACAAGCCCATTGACTCTCAACTATTTCAAGCCCAATATTGTTTTATTGTGTAAGCTATTGCAGTTGGGCCTTGAAGTATAACAAGCTGTCACACAACATATTAGAAAGAAGAGAGCAGCTCAAACTCTTCATTGTCTCACTTTTTATTGCGGGTAAGCCAGACAGGGAATCCCCTCACCGATTTTTGCGGGAAATCAAATTGTCAAGCAAGAAAAGATAAAGATGAAATTGGATAAAAATTGGAGCGAGAGATTCGGATTAGCTGGTGATCAGCTACACCAAAAACAGAAAAGGCAATCGAGTCCCGTATTTTTGGGGGATTCTGGAGATTAATTTGGGGATTACTCTGGGCAGCGAATGATAGAGGAGAGAAACCGAATTGCATGATAGAGGGGGCTGATACTTGACAGCTTTGGGGAAAGGGAGCAGCGACAGCAGCGAACTTATTCTCTTCGTGGTATTAGCTAAGTTGATTGTCAGTTACTTAATTTGGTAGTACTACAATTTTGTTTTAATAATTGAAGTGGAAAAGTCACGTTTTGCTTCTTACTTTCCACCAGTTTCGTGGTTGGTATTAGAACTTGGTTACTTAGTTTATCAAGTTTTCATTTTCAATTACTTTTTGCTTTGTTAATTATGAATTCCATAGTTTCTACTCTTGTTCTTATTCTTATCATGTCAGGCTAATTAATTTAGGGTAGGGAGATATATTATGCATTGGATTATTGTACTGTGAGAATAAGTATGTTGTGATTTGAGAATATTATGTTTATTTCTTG